GACAAAATTTTTAAAATTCCTTTATGCGTTGTGATTTTTTGTTTCTGTATATTGTTTTTATTGGTCGGGAGTATTTCTAACATGGTGTTCTGGAACTATGGAATAACTTCTTGTCAATGACATTGAGAGAGAGACGTGAGGGAGTTGAGGGATCGTTTGTTTTTTCGAAGTAGAATGTAGGTGATTAATAGTGAGGGGATTAATATGAGGAGATTGATAGTGAGAAAATTAAGTAAAATTGTGTTTATTTTGATGATAGTTGTTAGTGAGGAGATTGTTAAATTATTTTTATATAAAATAATAAAACAAATAAATTCACGGTTTTTACTTAACAAAAAATATAAAAACATTAAACATTAATGTTCACAATGCGCTTCCCAACATTTAAAAAAATAAAAAATAAAAAAATTTACACGTGACTGGTTGACCGACTGGACATCCGGTAACAACTTAAGCCAAACGAATTATTTTCTAATACCACCCGCTCGCCTAGACTCGTAATCCATTCGCTAAGGCCTTTCATAATTCGAAGGGACTATTAATCTGGAGCTCCATAAACCAAATAAACATGATTTACAAATACTGTTCATCACTAGGAGTCCACTTCTGTCTCTTACAAAACAAACGGATCCTGAGAAAAAAGTGAGAGAGATAAGGACAAAAGGATAAATCCGTCTTTTAACCATAGAAAACTATGCTTGAGTATTTTTTTTTCTACTCTCCATTGTAGATGAAATTTCAAAAGTAATCTATTATCCAACAATATCTTTTCCTAATTCCCATTCAACGATAATTCCCCCATCAATTTACCGAGTCTGGATCCTCTCCAGCTAGTGTCTCCAGCCTTTCCTTCGAGTGATAGCCCAAATCGGGCCATGTCACCCCACTCAAAATATACAGCTCAGATCAACTTAAAAAAAAAAAAAATTCAAAAACAGAGACAAATTTCCTCTCTCTCTCTCTCTCTCTCTCTCTCTCTCTCTCACATACACACACACACACTCAATCTTCCATGGATACTCTGCTTTTGATCTTCTTCCTTTCTCTATCTCTCTCTTCTTAATTTTACATTTGATACATACATACATGTATACTACCTTCTTCCTTTTTCCAAACCCTTTGGCGACCTTCACGCACCACTGCGACCGCCGGACTTCTCTCCCCTACCCCCACCCCTACCAACTTCGGCTGATCCAACATCACCCTTCCCTCATTCTTCTTCTAGATCTAAAATTTTTATATCTATTTTTTCAAAGCAAAACCCATGTACAAATCAATAACTCTCCAAAATTAATATGAAGATAGAAATGAAAAAATAAAGAAAAGAAAGAAATTAAAGCAACCAGAATTAGAGTGTTGAATTTGAATATTTATGTGGCTTGAATTTTAGAGAGAGAAAGTGGGTTTGCTTCAGATTTTGATGATTTAAACATTTGTGGCTTGATGATTAGTTGGGTGTTCTTCTAAATCTTTGAAACTTTGGTGGTAAATTTGCAGATTCCATCAATGGCGGTGGGCTCCCGGAGGTGGAAAAAAATTTGCAGAGAAGGAAATTATGAGTTGGGTTTTTTTAACCAAATCTAAACATTTGTAGACTCTGACTCTCTCTTCGATTTGAGACACTACATTAAATTAAGAGTTGTGTTTTCTTAAGAGTTTGAAGCAGAGAAAGAAAGAAGAAGAAACAAAGAAGAACAAACTCAACTCTGTTTTTGTAATTTGGTTGTTGTTTTTTTTTTTTTTTTTTTTTTATGCCGATACACGGAACGGGAAAGTGGGATGACGTGGCCCAATCTAGGCCGTCACTCAGAGGAAAGGCTTGAGACACTGGTTAGAGAGGATCCAAACTCCAATTTACCCACTTCTTTATCTTTTTGGTTCTTTACTTTTCCAGCTCACGTCACGCCTAAGCTTTCTGTCAAAATCCCATCAATCTCTCATGTACTCTCTCTCTCTCTCTCTCCCACCCATTTCCTTTTTTTTTTTTTTTATAAATTATGTATAGTTTGATTTACATAAAATTAGCATGTCATTCATGCTATATACGAAATAAAATAATATATTATTTATGAAAAATATAATAATTATATTTGATTTTTTGTATTTTGTCTCTTATAAACAAAATTATATATATAAGTTTAAGAGTTTTTTTCAAATGTTCCTTTACTGTAATATATAGTATACATAGATTAAAATTGTTGTATTGATAATTATCAATTAAAATTATGTTTTGTTATAAAAAAAAATGACATAGTTCTAATACTTACTATTTTAAAATAAAAATATATGAATTTTAAAAAATTGTTATATTAGTTTTTGAAAGGGAAATAATTAAAGAAATTTTAAAAACTTAATGAGTAAGAAAGAATTGTCGTAATATGTAATTTAAAATATCAAAAAAAAGTTAAAACATGAATAAAGATTTTAAAAAGATGTGATTACAATTAAAACTAATGACATATTTAGTAATAAGTATAATTTTATTTGGATATCTATTTATACTTTAACATGCTTGTTTAAAACAAAAATAAAAATATTAATAATTTTGAGATTTAAAATATGATTTTTTAGACTTGCTATATTAACTTTTGGAAGGAATATATTAAATTTTTTTTTACAAAAATTGAATATTAGTCATTGAACAAGTCTTATAAGATTTAAAATAAAATTTATAATAGGAAGAAATTAATGTTATTGCAACATATGCATTTTAACAATTTTAAATTTTGAAAAAAAAAAAAAATAGATTATGACTTTGAACTTCAATTATCTTACAACATTTTTATTTATATCTATATAATAAGGCAAGAAGGTTTTTGAAAATATATGAAAATGTCTAAGAGATACATTTTGTATCAATGGTTGAAATGAATCTTGAGTGTATATCAACGGTTCAGATCCATAGATGATTTCCGCCCAAACACTTCTCTCCCTAAACATCACACCGGTTTGCCTTTCCACCTACCTTCCACCTACCTTCCCCGACTTGCTAAAAAGTTTTAGGTTAGTTGCCCAGGAAATATATGAAAGTATAGGAGCTTGCACATTTTTCCTTGAGGTATTTGTAGTACAATTTTATCAAGCTATTTATATTATTGTAGGAAAAATGCATAAGCTATTTGTAGTACAGTTTTATGTATTGGAATCATGGAGTTTCATATATCAATAGAGAAACAACACATATGCCTACTATATGCCTTTGTTTTTCTATCCTTCTTTTAGTTGTTTGTTAAACTTTGTTAAGGTTTCATTTTTTTGTCCACAACATAGGCTTAGGCTTGTTATTGCTATTTCACTTCCTTTTTACACTTATCCAATTCATGACTAAGTTTAGGAATGTAACATGAAAAATAATATATTTTTTTTTTGTTTTTTTGTTGACAAATGTAAAAACACACTTAACTTAATACATAATATATGTAGATAGAATAGAATTTTAACTAGCGGCCGAGGCATACGCAATGCCTGTGCAAATTTAGAAAAAAAAATTATGCAATTGAGTTGATAATAGAAAAAAAATTATGTAATTGGGTTGATAAAAATTGAACTAAGGAAAACTACTTTTCAATTGTTAAAAATTTTAATGCATTCTCATTCAATTTGTTTTTTTAAATTTATACATTCATTTTTTTTAATGCATCCTCATTGTTTTTTTATGTGTGCAATTTTTTTTTAAAGTGTAAAATACTATTTTTTTGGAAACAATTTGGAAATTGAAAATCAGTTTGCCTATGTTTTAAAGAAAGATAGAAAGAAGAAAAAAAAATTGGAAACACAATGAATAAAAAAATTGAAAACACAATGAATAAAAATAAACAAAATTTATACCCCAAAACAAAAAGCAAATAAACAAAATTTTAGTCATTAAGAATATAAAAATTGAAAACTCCTAGATCACTTACCGTTGAAGAGAAATAAAATATAGTCATCTATTGGTTTGTATTTCCTTTGCCATAATTATTCTTCAACAGTAGTTAGTTGACCAACGGCAACAATTAGCTAACCAAGGAAAGTAGTTACTTGACCAGGCTCAAAACATGAGTACAATGCAAACTATAATTCAAATGTTGGCAGCAAAAAATGGGATAAATCTAGCAAACATTCTGGGGTTAGTTCCAAGCAACAATGCCGGGGAGGATGCATCGGGTGTAAGGGAGGATGAAACTTCTCTCGGTTGAAATAGAGGTAAATTTGACACCTCATTAAATTGATTTACTTTATTTAACCAATCCTAACATGTGTCAACAATATAAAATTATATAAACTTTGTATTACAATCCTAGCATTACAATCTTTGTATACAATAGCTTGATAAAACAATAGCTTCATAACAATTTTCTGATTAATTTTAACTATATTTGTATATTATTGTTGAAGTTAATGCATTAATAAAATACTCATGTTTTTATCCTTTTGTTCATAGGTTGGTAATGGATATTCGTGGTTCAGTAGTGATATATGTATCGTTTTGCACGTTGGCATTCATTTAATTTTTCTTTGATTCGTTTTATAGGTTTTTTTTTGTTGAATCTTTATATACTTTTTGGAATTATTATGTTTGGGATTGTTGGATATAGTTAGACGCATTTTAGGATTCTTATGTTTAGTGTTGTTAGATATTTGAATAAAATTTGGGATATTGAAATGCATTTGATATTAATTTGGTTACATTACAAATTGTTATGATGTGTTTAGTTTAGTTTTTACGCAATGTTATATAAAGGTTTTTTTTGTATGTTTTACAGAGAAATGCAGGTTACTTAGAAATACACGTTTAGGAAGTGGATCAATTAGGGTATAGGTGCAGTATGAATTGCTAAGTAATAATAGGTCACGGGAAGCGAAGATTGAATTTGTTTTAGATGGTTAGGCTGACAATATTTTAATCATCAGGAAAAAAGTATAGGGTGTTAATGTGTCTTATTTTATCTTGCATTTTTTTTATTCATTTGTAATAACTTGTTTTCAAATTCATTTTTTGTTCCCAAAAGAAAGATAAAATGGCTTCATCTTTAATTCTGCTGGCTGCTGCTGCTGCCGTGGTGGCGGATGCTTGCTGTGGCTGCTGCTGCAATGTTGCTGTGAGGCGTGCATTCTGCCAATCCATCTGATGAAGAACTTGCTGAATCGGCAGTTCTGATATGTGAAACTTCTGCAACATGTGGTGTGCTGTGTATACAACTAAGGAAGTGAATGGGTTGCGAAATGTGGATGAAGTTGCACCTGCCGGGCATGCATATTGAAGGGAAGGTAACAACTAGTATATTCTTATTTTTAGACTAGACTATGTATGCATGGTATATTTTTTCATTTGTATTATATGTTCATAGCCTTTAATCAATTTGAACATTATATGAACATTGAAAACTCGTGGTTAAGATATCTGTTAGACTTGTGGTTAACAAATTAGAATAATATAGTAGTCTCACATTGATCAACCTGACTAGGCAATTGACGTGAGTTATTTGACTTATTTCTTTTTTGCTGTTAAGGCTTGCTCTGTAATCTTTTTTATTTATTTCTTTATTTCTTTATTTGGCATTTGTCATTACATAATTTGATGAGGTGAAAATGTTAATCATTTGATGTACTTATTTTTCAATGGACTAAAGCAAGTTATATAGAGTCTTATGTTGATGCCATAGTGTTAGACTCCACTTGTAGCTTTTTTGGGTCAAAGTTTTTGTATCGTTTTCAATAGATTTTGCTAGTCTAGTGAGTGATCCATTGTTTTTACTGTAGAATTGGTTTTATTTTTGGCATTTTAAAGTTTTTCAATTATGTGGATCGAATTTCATTGAATCTTTTGATTGTTTGGTCTTGAAATTCGACTTTCGGGAGCAGAGTGTTTGAACCTTGTTCTGTTTTTTTACTAGAAATGTCCTGTTTAGGTCTTTGCCTCATTTGAATTGTTTTCAACACTTCTTTCGGGTTAGATTTTATTTGAATTTATCAGTATTGTGAAGATTTGTATGTGTTTGAGTTGAATTTCAAGTCTCACTTGATGTCATACAGTGTTTGGTTCATGAAATGCTTAGAATTTAATATCAATTTGCTTATTTGATTGCCTAAGTCTATTTAGATGTAGTTTTTGCATATTTAGAATTGTAACAGTGGTTTATGAGGTTTCACTGACTGATCCAATTTAAATTTTGTTTGTTGCTTAGACATTGGAGGGAATTTTAGGTGATAATAAAGGAATTAACAGTCTCTTGCATTAAGTGATCGTTTACTGCTTTCCATTTGAGGGGGGAGGTCTCCAATCAGCTTCTCCTAAAGCTTGGAGTTCACCCGTCACATCTCACGTTGTCAGGTTAGAAAAAATAGCTGTTTCCATCTTTGATAATTTATGAGGAATATGAATGGGTTAATTTAACATTCTTTATGTTCTTTAACTTTTCAGATTTCTACTAATGGGGGAGACTTTCTTGCTAGAAAATCGATTGACACTCAGAGCCATGTAAGTCTGTCATCGTCACAATTTAAAACCATAAGTTTTGGAGCTTTGTAAGTTTGAAGGACATAGTTAGAAAGCTGACTCTCATTTTTCTTCTTATTGTTCTCTCTCCCTGCAGATCTGAATTTGGTGTCCTTTTGATCTACTTTTACTTATGTGACCGTACAATTATCTTCGGTGAATCAAAAAAGGTTTTGCCAATGCCTTCATCTTATAATTTATACTTTTCATTCCGCGAGTTCGTTATTTTATTCGGTGAAGTATGTGCTAGACCAATTTTAAATCTTAAAAAGAAAAGTTCAATGTGAAAAATATAGAAAGAGGAATGGGTGGATATCACATTCTTCAACAACTTTGAAATGTTATTTTAAAAAATATATATATATACATATATCCCAGAACTTTACAAGGAAGTGAAAGGATTAGCGAGGTCATAACCTGATCCACTTATATGGGAATAACCTAATGAACCAACACTAATCGAAAGGAGAGATAACAAAAGCAAAATTACTAGTCTATGGACTAGCTGCTATCAGATGCTTCAGTCTCTTTTCTGCTTCCTTGGATGTGTAACTAAACAATTAGGGAGGACTTCACCTCTCCACATAAAATTCACAATGGCCAGGATATACAGTTATTGTTTTTTGTATCTATTTCAGTTATAATTTGGTCCATCTACATCAAAGTTGTGTGTCCAATGAGCTTTTCTTTTAACCATCATTTGTTGTTGCAGAGTTACAATCGGGATCGTTTCTTATTTCTCTACTTCCTTCTCATCATAGTTTTAGCAATTACTTCTTTCAAGATTCATCATGATAAGTCACCAATCTCAGGAAAATCCATACTGTATCTGAACAGGCATCAAACTGAAGAGTGGAAAGGTTGGATGCAGGTTAGTCAGTTTTTAAGATGACATGTCTATTTCTTAGAATTATCTAATTTTTAGAATTGTCTAATTTATTGTTACTTGTTTTCAGTGCAAAAGAAACAATTTATTTCCTTTGTGTTTGTTTCTAGTGTCTCTTGTGATTTGTTTGGAAGTTTGAGCTCTAATCAATATAATTCCCTCCCACTCCTTTCAGTGTTTCTCTACCTAGAAACACTTTCTATCTTGTCTGCATCTTGTAGTCAATCCATAGCAAATATATTGGTAGTTGATAAAGAGAAGTAACTTTGAGATGGGAAATTGCAGTTGGAAATGGTTAGAGAGAGAGAGAGAGAGAGAGAGAGAGAGAGAGAGAGAGAGAGAGAGAGTCAACAAGTTACTGAAAGTTTATTTATTACCCTGCTCTATAATTGGAACTAGGAGCAGTTCGTGAAGGGCCCGGGAATGTTGCCTTCAAGTTTAATTGAGGTGGGATGCTGATTCAATCTTTTGGTTATAGAACCTCCAAACTACACCCTGTCTGAAGTCATTAATCCTGTGAATAAATTAAAGCTCTTTTCAGCCATAAGAATTTTGTTTTCAGTTCCTAATCAGATGAAACATCTAGAATAACTTCTCCATGCTTAAATTCAACATTAACTTGCCATTCGTTGATGTCCATTTTGTTGTCAATAAGAATCTTCTGGCACCCATGTTCGTTGGCCAGGTTGAATTGGCTCTGTTTTCTTATTGGACAATTATAAAATTGACTTGGACTTGCATCTCTTGGAACTTTTCAAAAAGAAAAACACATTTTGCATCTACTCATTTTGTTAATCATCCAGAATTTTAAGAAAAGGCATATTGAAATATTCATCAGGGCACTGCTTCTTGTAATTTTGCATCAACAGCGTGTAGTGCATTGATGAGTTGGGCACTGTTTACATCTGCCTGCTTTTATATAATATAATATTAAGACATTTGATTTTCTTATGGTTAGTTCTTTTCTTTTCTGCTTTGTTCAGTCCAGTGATCATGCAGATAACGATGCATGGAAAGATAAAGGCACTGGTCAGCTTGCTATCAAATGTAATGAGGGTGTTAACAAGGGCACAAGAGAATCCAAGCCAACAATTCTCGTTCGAAATGACATATGTTTCTTCTTATTGTTTTTGCTCTTCCCAAGTTGAATTCAGCTTGAAATCTTGAGTTTGTAATGAATCTTTGATTTTTGTTTCTGCTTTTTTCTTCTTTGCAATTTTTCCTACTTGTTCATTATTTGTCTGACATGCGCAAAAAAAGTACTTACATGTACATGCACACACCTGTCCATATAGGGAAGAGCTGAGACACACCAGTGGTTTACGTTAAATTAAGAATGAAAGCTCAATTTCGACCATAATTATACTTTTGTTCCCTTTTTGCTTATGGCAGGTGGGGAAAGTGTTGCTAAATGCATTGTTATATCCAGGAATCAAGACGAACATGCAGAAAAATTCCATTGTTGCGATATTTCATATGGCGGTAATATTTCTTAATTAAATATTTCAAAATACACTTTTGTGGGGGAAATAAATAAGAAATGGGGATGTTTTGTTATCTGTCATTTCTTCTGCAATATATTTTGCTATATCATACAAGGCTCCAGGCATGGTAAATCTTGTCATTGAATTCATAAGTGAGGCCAACAAATCGAGGTTCCTATTTCTGCTGCACGATAATGGGATAACTATTCTATTTGTCCAATAAATAAATGGGATAACTATTCTATTATATAAAGTGCACGTGAGTTGGGTCGGAAGCTGTCACTTTTTTTTTTTTAAACTTTTCCAAGAATGTCTTTATACCTAGTAACTGTCAGTCTTTCCCACTCAGTAGCCGTCACATCTAATAACAGTAAGAATAATTGTTTCTTTTGTCAAACCGTCCAAAATTGCTATTAGTTTTCCTCAACCATCATACTATCCAAAAATTTAAATATAAAATTGCAAATGCGTTCCAAGGCGTGTTCAAACATAGGATCCCAAATCAACTTTCTAAATCAACTTTCTAAAATCATAAAATAAAACAAAACCCATAAAGGTGTTCCAAGGCGTGTCCAAACATAGGACACACATGTTCATGAAGTATCCTGCAAAAAAATAATAATTAAAAATTTTGACAAGCCACATAACATGTCCGAAATACGGACGCACATGTCTGCGGTGTGTCGGTGTCTAATATGTGTCGGACAAGAACATGACACCCATTTTGAAGTGTTTGTGCTTCCTAGATAGACATAATAGGCTCCAACTGTGAGATCCATATTCAGTGTATCCTTGCCACATATATGCTTGCTTGCTTGAGGTTATATATGTTCTTATTTCTTTCCTCTTGCACTGAATAGCACGAGTGCACCATTACCAAAGATTTCAGCTCAGATGCTTTGGGACAAGAAACTGATGACTCTAGTCAAAAGAAAGGGTTGAGCAAGTCTGGTTTGATGATTAATGGAAAGAATGGACTCAAAACACACAATTCTGCTTCGAAGGAAAGAAGTGAAGTCTTGAATTCATCATTGAAGCCTGAACGGAAACCAAGAACACCTAAGCTACATGTACTGTTTTCTTCTCCTTGAATATAATTTGAACACAATACTAAGTACTTTAGGGTTCAGCTCTAAGGGAAACAGTCATTTGTTAGGAGCACAAATAATATGATGCAGCGACTTTGAATTCTGAGCTTGTATGATTCTATATTCAGTTTACATCCTTCCTTGCATTAATTTGTATACTAATCTTCTCTTACACTGAAATAGCGTGCTAGTGCTTCCGGTTCAGATGCATCACAACGTGTAATTGATTCCGAAGGGAAGAACAAGTTGTGCAGGATTGATTTAAAAGTTCATGGGCATAAAGAAGTCAAAGAACCCAATTCTACGGACCAAAGCGTAATCTCAAAATCATGTTTGCAACATGGAGGAAAACAATCAAATATTTTAGAAACAGTTGAGGTAAAACTGTTCAAATAGCTCTTTGACTGCTTTAAATCAAACATGGAAGTACTGCTTTAGAAAATTACGGGACCTGTTTGATTGTGTTTTTGTTTTCTATTTTCATTCTTCGAAAAACATATAATTTCACATGCACAGACAGACACATGGATTGCAAGTTGAATTCCAGTTTACCATACATTTTAAGCTTCTAATCCGTAATCAAGATTCACAAATATAGTACCACAACCTTAGATTTAACGGGCTCTACATTGGATACACTGTAGAAGATTTGGAGGATATGATGATTTTAAACTGTCAGAATTCACCATGTGTTTCCGATGTTTATTTGCAAGTTTATGCCAACTTGTAGATCATATCGTAGAGTTCAGATCTAATGCTTTACAAGAAGCATCTAAAGAGTCTGAAGTGAACCCAACACTAAGCAAAGCCCCAGATTCTCCTCTGACCAACATGATCGACCCTCTTCTCTCATCATTTAAGACAGAAAAGAAAATAACAAAAACTCCATGGCGAATGAAAGGTCCAGAAGCTGGTCTGATTGATACCGAGCAGAATGCAGCAGACTCACTTATTGAGTTGATGTATCAGAAAAGAAAACATATAACCAAGCAACATCCAAGTGAAGAACAAAAGCAAAAAGCTAAATTGGCTGTTAATGACAATGAGTCCAATTCAAGCTTGCATCCGAAGCCACAAAAGCAGATGGCAAAAAGAGAGCAGTAGCAAAAAGCTATGCCAGACTTGCATGTAGATATCAATGTAGATTCAACTTTGCAGTCTCAAAAGAAAAGGAATTGTCAAAGCTCGCCAGCCCTTGGGGAGACTAAAAAGTTCAAGGGCCTTCAAATTACTCTGGCACAATTTCGTGCTAATACAATTTAATATGTTCACAATAAATTTTGATTTCCTCAATCTTCTGCTTAAGTTTATAGAACTTTAATAATTTCTAGTTTATTATGCTTTGGTATTCGGAATATATGCTTACTTATGGATGATCTACATGTTGTTGGTGCATGTCTATCTTTCAAAGAACAAACGTACCTATCCTATTTTCCATTAATGTAATCATGCTTTAGGGAGGAGCAAACAGAAAGGTAGCTGCCACTATTATGAATCTAGCAAGTAGCTGTTCTCATAGTGTGTTTACATGCATCATTGAAAGTAAGGTGAGCAGTCTATATCCCTGAGTTAACTTCTGATTCCAATTGCAGATCCAAGCCAGATCTATTCCGCCACTTTTGGAAGGCAAAAATGTTCTTGGAGCTGCAAGGACATGTTCTAGAAAGACCCTTACTTTTCTGATATCTGCTGTGGAGTTGCTACATCAAATCTGAGCGGGGTTAATTGTCAACTGCCCAACTAGGGAACTTGACATACAGGTAAATATTCTAGTTTTTATTTTATTTTTATTTCTTTTACGTATCAATATCAATCTTTTTCCCAAGATAGCCTGTGATGTGATTCCAATTATTAATCCTACACTATAATCCTCTCAATTACAACTCTTTTTGTGATATTTGTACTTTCTAAACAAGCAAATTGAAAAGACAAAATCATTATAGAATAAAGCCATCCCTATTGTAGACCATGATCACAGATCCTTTGAAATCCCACTAGTATATAATATAATCTTCACCAACGTAAAAAAAAACGAAATCTATATAGCACTCCATAATAGCAAAATAAATTCAGAGGAGTTTCCAAACGAAACAGACATGGCATGAATGCAAACCAAATTACATATATAAAACCTCAAAAGAGAATCATCGCTGGTAGTATGGATGACATAAACACCACCAAAAATTAATTAAAAGCCCACAAACTTTTAAATAAAGTTCAATTAAATCTCATATATAGCAAACACAAAGAAATCATAGAAAGAACCTCCGATTGTCTCCAACACAATTGAACCCAGAAATCGGAAATCGAAACCAGTCAATCAATCTCCATTGCTCTTTCGATCGCTAAGATTGTTAGAAAAAAATTAGTACCAAACTATCTAAAAAATATAATTTAAAATTATGTAAACGGTTTTTGGGCAAAACCAAAACTG